CCCAGTACTGCAGACAGGCATACCAGCCTGTAATTGCCGGGATCACCTCTGGAGCCCTTTTTAAAAATTGGTGTCACACTGGTGTCATCAGCTTTGTTTTATAGATGGTTAAACTGAGTGCCAGAGAGGTTAGATGGCATTGAGGCACAGGGAGTCTAGGTGCGTCGCTCCAGGTCACAGAGCAGTGGCAGAGCTAGAAATGGAAGAACTCATTTCTCCTGACTCCCTAGCCCGGAGTTTGAATGATCCAGCTACAGGCCTAACTGCCAGCCTTATTCATCATTTAAGCTGGCTTTGTGAAAGGAAGAAGATGGAGTGAAAAATCTAGCAAAATTTGGAACTTCTCCCTTGTTCTTAGTGGGACCTCTCCCTCCTAAGGGAGAGGAAAACTGGCTCCTTTTCCAACGGGATTTCATTTTATGTTGTTACCTGGGGCTGGTGCAGAGCACCATGTTATCCCCCATCAGGGTCACAGCCTGTTTCACTGTGGGCTTGCTGCAAACAGAAGTTGCACCGGTTTAATTCAAATCAGTTTGAAACCCGATGTAGGTAAACTGGAGCAGCGGATGCTTTTACATACGTTTAAAACTGGTGATATCGATTTAGCCAGCACCTGTAAATGTCCCGATGGGCCCTAAACCGCTATAAGCCAAGTTTAAACCCACCTAAGAGTGTCCAGACACAAAGAGGCAACGGTTTAACTAAATTGGTACAACTTTGTGAATGTCAACCAGGCTTTACATGCCAAACGGCCCCCAGCCCTAACTGGGACAGACCACTTGGAGGGCTAAGAAGGGTGAGTCACCTCTAGGGTTAGTTAGTCTGCGCTATCTCTGCTAAGATTGCCAACTCATGGCTGCTTTTGGAATGAGGACATGTGGCTACTTGGAACTGGACTGAAACCACTGGCTCATTTTATACCAGGCTTCCAATAGACATGGGATTGAAACTGCCAAATTCGGACAGGTAACTCGGAGATGAAAGGCTCTCCCCTGTCACCCAGCCTCTATTTAATTGAACTTGACTTCCAGGAAAAGAAGGGGAGGGCTGAAAAGAAGTGTTCTGCCTTACTAGAGATCAGTGAGCACTTTGAATTCACTTTCAGAGGGACTGGAGAATTTACAGTATGAAAACAGGCCTAATGCAATTCTGCATTTCCCTCTGAAGTGGCAGCTCACGGAACAAACTCTCCTGCATTGTCAGGTGTTTGTTTCCTGTCTCAGCGAGCAAAAGTGACGCCGAATATTCTGTGTGATTAAAGGCTTGATCCCAAAAGGATCTCAGCCGCTGCAAATTCTTACTGACTTCCATCAAGCACGTCTCAGGATCAGGGCCAAAGTGTGTAATGACTATTTTTTCCCATAATGCAAAGCTGTCCCCTTTGATGGTCTTTGGAAATGGGCCTGACTCGAAAATGGAAACAAATCTGGATTTAGCAAATGGCCTTTTATCCCTTCAAACCGCCGTTAAAAACGTGGGATCCAAACACTCCCAGAGGTGGAGGGGTTTGAAATCTGGATCTGGACCTAAATGCTGCAGCTCAATAATCAAGGGCCGTCGACCTCAACCGGAGTTTTGGACAAATAAAGACTCACTAAAATCTGGCTCCATCTGTGCAGTGAGGACGTACGATAACAGCTGGGATTCTAATTGTATCCCCTTTTGGCTGATGGTTTTCAGAATGGAGTCCAGCCACTCAGCTACTTTAAAGCAATATTACCCAGCCAGTGCTGTTTCCAGATCTTGCAAACCAGTGTCAGCCTCCGAGGGAAGGGTTTGCATTTCAAGAACCCTGGCTCTGTTGTAGCTGGAAGCTACTGCAAGGGAGGAAGGGGACAACGTCCGACCGTTTGGAGTTTAGGGCGAGCAGAGGTTGTGATTAGCGATGGGAGAGAGAGTGGCCTGGCCAGAACAGTGAACTGGGAGTCGGGACTCCTGAGTTCTAGTCCTGCCTTTCTG